TTCTCTCCTCTTTCATCTGCTATCTGCATTTCCCCGGGCGACTGACCCAAACCAGCTGGGCAGGAATCCAGAGGAGGGGTGGTGGGGAAACCCCAGGCCCGCTCGTCCATTTGCAGAGCCCGGTGGACGCTGCAAGGGGGAAAGGGGGAAGGAAGGGCAGCAGGAATCCGGTCAGCAGCCCCCGGGTTGCGATCGGTCGTAAGGCGTGGCCACGGTCCTCTTCCCCAGTGAGGACTGGCATCGAACCAGGTTTTCGAGGGGTAGAGGTTCAACTCAGAGACTGGTCCCCAACCTCCATAGAGGTTGGAGGTCTGGCTGTCCTCCCTGCTTTTCCCCGTGGCTCTTAGGCCCCCAATGCCTCGACTCTCAGCCTTCTGGGCCCCACTTTTCTCAAATGCACTGTGCATTCCTTAGGGCAGTGTTTCTCAACCGTGGCAACTTGAAGAGGTGTGGAAAAGCTGGCTGGGGAATTCTGGGAGTTGAAGTCCACACCTCTTCAAGTTGCCACGGTTGAGAAACACTGCCTTGGGGCTCATCGTACAACTCGCAGCCCCCCCAACCCCTTGAGCGACTGAGCGATTTATGAATATCCCATTACATCACAGGAGCTCTGGGAAAGAGCAGGAGAGAAATAGGCACAGGGACAGCCACGACGTGGCGCTTCGCTCCTTGCACGTATTTAAACAATTGGTGGGAAAGGGGGACATATTGTGAAGAGGCCTATTTCCAACTGATTGGGGGCTGGATTTGGGGGAAATGGGGACTGGAAGCGGAGGGAGGATTATTCCTTCCTTTTTCCCTTTCAATTATCAGACCTTGGATTGAGCAAGCAGAGTTCCTGGCCAGGGGTACCATCGCTCCTAAAAGAGTGTCTTTGGAGGGGGGCTCAACCCTTGGGGACTTCATTGCGTGTCCATGTAGGGTTTTTTTTTTTTGGCAAAAATGCAGAAATGGTTTCTTGGCGCATGCTTCATGACCTCCCGGTCTAGTTTACCATCCTGGGATCTTCTGGTGGTCTCCCATCCAAGGACCAACTAACTGGGTCTAAGCACACTTAGCTTTTTGCCAAGGTCAGCATGGCCCATATTCCTGATTCATTGCCCTCATTTTTTCAGCCTGGAGCCTTGCGGATGTGTGGGAAGACCAATTCCCAGAATCCCTAGCTGGCCCACTGGAATTCTGGGAGTTCCACCCTCAGCCCGGTCACCTGGGAAGGGTTGGGGGGAGCCGGCTGCTGGATAACCGAGAACCACGGAGCCGGAGAAAGCCACACCCGTCCTATTTCTACCTGCTGCTCTGTTGCTTTAAAGGGCTTGCCAATCACACTGGCAGGCCTCCCTTTCTCCTACAGTCTGGGGGAGCCCTCGCACCAGCCCCCAACTCTCCCCCGCCTTTATTAAGGATGACTCTTTGTCCCTGGAGGGGGTCCAGGCTGGGACGGTTGCCAAAGCCAAATCTGTCCTCTTCCCCCCCCCGGCCCCCCTCGCCATCTCTTCCATGCCGGGCATCCAAAGCCGGGTTCTTGGCACCCACAGGAAACCCATCTCTGCAGAGGTCTCATCGCCCCCTGGTGGTGCCAGGAGGTATTTCACCATATCAATCCATTTGGGGCGGAGGAGCAGAGAAGGAATTATTTGCAAGAAACCGGAGGACCCGTGTTTCCCCTCCGCCTCACTGCCGTTTGTGAAAGCAACCCGCTTGCTCTCCATGTGTCTCCCATGCAAATGTGCTATCAAATATTTACAGGGCAAGGGACTCTGGTTACACCAGTCGTGGCTGGAAGGCTGCGGATCTCTTATTTCAGTCCTGAAAATCTGCCTTGTAGCTGACATGCAATGACATTTTTTTAAATTGCTAACGCGAAGTGGGGATTAGTAATGAACAGCAGGCAGCTGGTGGGATTTCTGGATTGGGACCCACCAAAATCCATGTAATCCGGCAGGGGCAACTGACCTAAAGAACTGAGATGCCAGTTTTCTTTTGAAACCTGGATGGAAAAATGAATTGATCGCAATGTGAATCCTGATAAATTCGTATTTTGCACTGCTGGCACTCCCTTTTTTCACTGCACATGCAGATGAACAACAAGCAGATGCACAGAAAGGGAATGTTCCTAGAACCTACTTTGTTGTTAAGCAGCTGATACCGGGAGAAAAGCAATTTATCATCAGAATACTTGGAGCCACGAAGATCTGGGATTAAACCTCAACTGTTTTGCTTTTTTGTCCTATATGTACGGGTTGTGTTAAGCACGCAGGCCATACTGCATTAGTCTAAGCCGACCTTCAGTTTGAGCATGGTTTAGAACAGTGTCAGCTTCTGAGTGTCACAGAACTCTTTTTTCCTCTCCAGCTCAGAGCCCTGTAGATCTCAGAGGCTTGCATGCTCCCAAATCGCCTTTGGGCTGTTGTTGAGAAAAATAGAACAAGGCTGCGGCAAGGAAATCACATAAGACGCTCCCTTCCTTTTCTTACTGCATCAAAATAGCCCACGTGAGTGTCTGGTTTTTCAGCCGACACTTCAAAACCACAAAGGAGACGTGCCCACACGGGCATATTGGTAGAAGCTAAATGCTGAAATTGCCAGCCTCCAGACCCGTGAGACGACGCTCCTAGGCTGCCTGGGGATGCTAGTATCCCAACCGGTCTGCAGGGGCACCAGTTCAGGAGGGTGCGCATAAGCTGGCTGGGGTAAAACCAAAAAAAGATATTAAGAGAAGCCTTGAGGGTTTCGTTCAGCACTCACGGCAGGCAGTCTGCAGGGCATGGCCAAGCAAGTCATAAAAGAGAGGCAGAACCTCTGTCACAGCCACCATCTTGACTTTTTTGACCCTACGTGCAGCCCCCCTGCAAACGACAAGCCGTGGTTCTAATCCAGGGCCCGGTTTATATATGCACGTCACGCTGTAGCTGGGAAATGCTCATTTCAGCTTTGCACATTCCCCGAATGACTCACAACCTGCGGTTTGTCACTTCAGTTTCTGCCTGCTTGTGCCATGCGCTTGATAGATGCCGCACGAGGGGCCTTGCCGGTGTGAAAAGTCTGCTGAGCGACGCAGAGGCCTCTGGTTGCAGGGGAGAAGGGTCCCCAGGGGCGCCGGAAAGTATTTTCTTCCTGGTGCTTCCAGGCGGATTCGCCCTCATCAAGAAAAAGGAACGGACGTGGGAAAAAACGATCACGCTAGCCTGTTCTCACAAACCTAATCCCCTGAGTCGGCAGCGTGTTGAAAATATTCATTCGTCCGATGGAAGGCGGCTTTCCTGAAGGGCCCAGCTGAACTTCCAGCACGGCAGGCGTTGGCGGGGAGGGGGGGACGTGGTGCTTTCGGCATGGCGCGTCTGCGTCATTTTCTCCGCGATGCTGTGGCATGACAGATGGACCGCCGGGGGGGGGGGGCTGATGGCGGCGGGCCCCACCCCGCCCCCCCCCCCCGTGCAACCGTGCCTGAGGTCCCTCCCTGGGCGTGCAACGGCTCTGGGCAGCTGGTCCCTCCGGAGCTTGTGACTTCATCTCTCACTGCACGTGTGTGTGTGTGTGTGTGTGTGCGTGTATCCTGCAAAGAAAGCGTCAGAGTCAATCAGGCCAGGTCACTGTTGGTTAAGATCAGTGAAGGGGAGAGGAAGGGAGGTAAATGCAAGCCGGCCTGTCCTCGCATGGTCTTCTGCGGAAAAAGGGGGTCTTCTTGGCGCGCTACTTGGGAGCTGGGTGGGAGCAAAATCGCCCGGCCCTGGTTTAGGATCTGCAGGGGACTCACAAGGGGCGATGTTCTCTTTCCAAGGGTGTCGCCCCACTCCCACCCTAGCAAAGGCATGGTTCCCAAGGTTTTGTCCCCTGCCTCACGCAGGAGCGTGGCCAGCTCAACGCAAGAGGTAGGTAAACTCTGGGATTCCCTCCCACGGGACCGAGCAGCGGTCTTACGAAAGAGGAAGCGGCTGTTGTTTAAGGCGAGCTCTCTGTGGCCCCCAGCCCGGCAGCTCCCTTCGCCTTCCTGGGCCCCGCTTCTGCCGAGGACCTGGAAGATGCCTTCATCGCCCCCGGCATTCCCCTGGGCCCTGGGCTTTCCTCTTCTCCATTTTCCAGGCCACGAGCTTTTTTGTTTCCTCCTCGCAGGCTGCCTCTTCAGATCTTGCTTCAGGTGTTCTGTTGGCGGGCTGGACCCATGCTTCTCAACCTGGGCCACTTGAAGAGGTGTGGACTTCAACTCCCAGCATTCCCCAGCCAACAAGTGTGGGCTTTAATCCCAGAATTCCCCAGCCAGCATGCCGGGAGTTGAAGTCCACATTTCTTCAAGTGGCCAAGGTTGAGAAGCACTGATTCTTGCGCTCCTTTTCCAACTCTACCATTCTATGACCCTGCGATTCCCAGGCACAATTGGTCCTAGCTTTGCAACTTCCCTCTCTTTATTTCTCTCCCCCTCCAGGGAGGTTGGAGCCCCCTTTGTGGCGGGTCCAAAGGGGTCCAGACGTCTCCAGGGTGAAAGGGGGTCTTGCTCGATCACATCAATAAGGTTCTCATGGTGGGAAGAGAGAACTGAGTTGGGAATCTTTAGTGAAATTAACCTCTGGAGAGCTGGACCCCTGGGTGCCCCCCACCTGCCCTCCCACCACATCAGGGCTCATCTTCTGCTCTGTGGGGTGGGAGCTGACCTCTCTAAAGGTCCCCGAGCAACCCACTTTTAATCCTCAGGATCCACACAGCCCTAAAATTGGGGCCAGGGCCATCAAGATAGGGGCTGCAACCGTGCAATGAAAGCCCCCTCCCTTTGCAGCCCTAGTGACTTTTTTGGAACACCCCCCCCCACCCGCAGACACCCCTGACAGCTCTCTGTGCTTTCCAGCGATGACCACCTGGCCTAGCCTGAAAGTCAGAGATTCTCTAGGATAAATTGGGAGAAAATGGGGAGCCTGGCAACCCCCTGCAGAGAAAAAAAAAGGCTGGTGGCAGATATTTTCAGTGCACCGAGAGATGGGCTTCTGTTTCAGACCGTGCCCGGGGCAAACCTGGCATCGAAGAACTCTTTGGGTAAAGAGGGACATCAATGTGATTGCAGACATTCTGGTACACCATGCCATTTTCCAGAGTCTGCGAGCCAGCATGGCGGTCCGAAGACATCTGGAAACATCTGGCTGGGGGACGCGGGTGCAGCTGCAGGGAAGACTCCAAGTCCTTGCCCCTAAGGAGGCAAAACCACCTGCAAATGTGCAGAAACACCCTTGGGTTGTATAATCTATAGCAGTGTTTCTCAACTGTGACACTTGAAGTGGGTGGACTTCAACTCCCAGAATTCCCCAGCCAGCAAAGCTGGCTGGGGAATTCTGGGAATTGAAGTCCACCTGTCTTCAAGTGCCTACGGTTGAGAAACACTGTTCTATAGCTCTCTTCTTGCTGCAGGATGTAAGTTTCCAAGCAAAGGAGCGTAACTTTCCGACCTTTTAAAATATACAACCATGCACTTTAGCCTATCGGTTTATTAAAATAACTACAGGTCCTGCTTTTAGTCTGAACCAGGACTGGATGATCTGCTTCACTGCGGGGAGGCGAATGAACTGGCAGTGCATTGAAAGAAATCCAACGATTTCTCCGAAGTCAGAAAGGTGGGATCCAGATGTAGGTGCTGCCCCTGGGCTGGTGGACACAGATTCCTCCTTTCCCCCAATTTGTTAAGAACTCCTCTCCAACCCCCCGCCCTCCTTTCTTGCCACTTCAAAGACTGTGACTCTCTCTAGTTCTTACAATTATTATTATTATTATTATTTTTTCCAGGAAGGGGAAATGGAGAAGTTGCCCCTGCTTCCACCAGCCTGGTCGCAGGCCCTCAGAATCTGGATCCACCTGAACCGAGGAGGCAACGATGGCACGCTGGTCCTGCAGGGACCAAGGAAGCAGAAAATGGCCCTCCTTGGAGCCTGCGGGCAGGTGCCATCGATGCCAGGTCTCTCAATCATCCGCCCCCCCAACACAACCACAGGCCGGCTCAGCGCCAAGCCGCTTAGCAGCAACACTCTCAACAATTGCACCCCCACCCAAACTTGCAGCTGCGGGATCTCTCCCGTAGCCGGGCCAAGCTGCTGGAAACCGCCAGACGCATCCACAGAGGAGAGAGCGTGAGAGACGGAGACGCGGGTGCCAAAGTCTGGAAAAATTGCCCTCTGGCCGGGGTGTGTGTGTGCAGTAGCTCTGCCACCCCTTTAATGCCCATCGTCCCTGTTGACTTTGCCTTGGTGGCTCCCGGGGCAGCTGTGTGCCCAGATCGAGTTGGTCCGGTACTGGGCATCGTCGAGGTCCAGCTCACGGCCCTGCACCCGGATGGAGCTGAGGCAGCCCTGGAAGAAATTCGCTTCCTCGGATTTCTCCTCTCCTGAAATAAAGATCGGCCGGAAACGTTTGGCACCCCTGCTCCGTGCGACGCATCCTTAGCAGGTGCAACTCTCTGTTGCAAAATGCAGCAAGTGCAGGTGCAGTTGTTCTGCAGGTAGCTTTTTTTCAGCAGGAGGTAAGGTCAGATCTGGCTCCTCCCAGCCCCCCAAGGCGCCCTTCATATGATTCTCCCCTTCAGGGCAGACGTACCGGAGGGCCCCCCGATGGCCAGGCTTCCCACCCTGCTCAGCCAGGTCCGTTGCAGGCTTTCGAAATCGGACTTCGGGGTGGGCTTGGAGATCTCGGTGTCCCCCAGACGCAGCGTGAAGGAAGAGGAGCTGATGCGAAGGAGGAGGGGGGTGTCCAGGCAGCCCCCTTCAGGGAGAGGGACCAGGAGAACCGTCTTGTTACCCAACTCGGCCGTCAGATCCTGGGAGACAGAAAGAGACCACAGACCAGGCTGAGGGGTGGTACGGTGGAGCGCATGTTCCACGGTTCCCCCTCCTACAGAAGGGCCCCTTGGCACTCACGGGCACACGGTGCCCTGCGCTCTCGCGTCTCCAGTTTGGATCTTTTTCTGGGTGGCACATTGTCCCCCCCCCCCAAAGATCCCCAACAATTATATTAAAAACTTCACCCATCCTACCCTCTGCTCTTTCCTGGGAGGGGTTAACGGGGGGAGACGTTTCCATCACCAATAGTGCCCCAAAGTACGCTAAACTGTAATAGCCTTGTGGATATAATCCAGTTACGCACGTCTTGGTGTCCATTTCATTCGCTTATTTTCCAGAAGTGGTCAGAAAAGTCAAGATGACGCCTGTGGCTGTGTGATGGAAGTCCCACCCCCTTTTTACATGCAGTGCATGGAAAAGGGCAGGGCTTCCCTGGCGCGGTCGCCATCTTGACTTTTTTGACCCTCCCGGCAGACTTCCAACCCATCTGCGGGCACTCCAATGAGTACCAGCCCTCGCCCCTGCTCCCAGAGCCTCTGGCAACGGGGGTCGTGCCATCAGCCAGCCTGCGGGGCTTGGGTGTCTCACCCCATCACCCCTGTTCTCACCGTGTGCCGCAGGGCCAAGCGCAGAAGCAAGCTTTGCTTCAAAGTGGAGACGGCCAGGAGGGTGCTCAGCTGCGGAGCGGCCCTGATCTGCAGCTGCAGCGAGAGGACCCAGCTCCCGTTGGCCGGGGTGGGGTCGGTGGGGAGCCCTGGAAGAGAGCAGGACAGGAGGAGAACATGGGTGGGGACATCGAGGGGCCCTTCCCCCATGGCTGATGCCCAACCCTTGGCAAAAGGCGGTGGCATTGCCCGCCTTGCTAGGCAGAGAGGGAACCAGCCCTCCCAGTCTAAGATGCCCCGATGCCCAGCCGTACCTGACAGCGCAAAGACGGCCTGCCCGTTTCCACGGAAAAGGCTGCCCCGCTGGATGCTGGCGAAGCAGACCTTGGCGTCCCGGTCCTCCAAGGAAGCCCCCTCTCGCCACTCCAGGCTCTTGTTCAGCCAGTCCCAGCGCCTCATGCAGCCGTCCAGGGCCGGATTCAGCTGCCGCGCCCGGCAGGTGGGGCGCCGGGGTGGGGGCAGAGGGAGGCAGGCAACGGGAACACAGAAGACCCCCTGGTTATTGTCATTGTTGCACGATGAGTAGAATGGAGGTTGCAGGGACCCTTTGCTGGGGAACCCATTGCATCGAGGGCCGGAAGAACGAGGGGCATTATTATGTCATTATTAGCAATCGTTCTATGCTGTTATTATTATGACTGTTATTATTACACGACTGCATGATTTTTGATATTGGGTGACGAGGATTTGTGCACTGCTCTTCAGCTAGCAATCGTAGAGCACGGATCACCAGGATTCCCCGGGGAAATTGCTGATCCACTGGGTTCTTCAGAGACCCAGCCCAGATTCCGTTTAAGTGGCCCCTCCAGGGACCAAGCCTACCCGAGACCCATGCTTCCCTCTTCCTCCCGAGCAGGACCAGCTGAGGAATTTGATCTCCAAGGTGGAAAAACTCAGAGACGAGCCTCGCAAAAGCTTGGTTGCAAAAGTACCACAACATTCAATTAAACCACGACTGAATTTGCAGCCCTGAATTGGGGATGAGGCCCAAGGTTTCAAAGGCAAATGTCTTTAGTTAGTTATTTTATTTATCTTCTATTCCAGTGTTTCTCAGCCTTGGCAACTTCAAGGTGGGTGGGGGCTAAACCTCCCCACATAC